TCCGGCCGATGTTTAGGCGAATTCGGACCGTTCTATAGTGGACAAACGTCGATGTTGAAGCCACTCTACTTGACATGAACGGATGAAGTGTTATGATCCTGATAAGGACTATCCACCCCAGCAGTAGTCACTCGTGGTAGACCTGAACGCTGACGGTCCTTAACGACATTAGTTTGCTGATATTTTCTGGCTAGTCTACTGACAGTCGAGGGATAACAACCATCTCTTGCAATAGCCTTAATGACATGCAAGCATTCCGGATACCCATAACCTGTCATCTTTGAGCAATTGTCAATTGATTGTCAAACTTATCGAGCCGTAAGAACAGTTTACTGAAACATGATATTGGCTTAATGACGAGTACACGTGTTGTGCGTTGTGCTCGCCTGTGATCGTAGAACGTGCATATCTAAAATAAATGTATGGTGCGCTGGAAGGGTCGACAATCATACAAACAAATATTAGTATGATGTGAACATAAAATGGCTATATGGGGGATAAAAATCGTACATGTTGAATTTTTTTTTTTATATATGTATAGATATGAATATATACTACTAAATAATTGCTGAGGAGAAAGTTTGGATGAAATAGAAAATAATCATTCAACAAATGCAGATTAAAATATTGCAGAACTCATTCGTTGGTTAACCCCTATATTATCTTGGTTTCTCCTCTGTTTCATGATTAGCGAACAGAGACATGCAGTCATTACCACGATGTATACGTATGTGCATGGTGCTTGAAAAACTGCTTTGAGGAATCATCGAGCACAAAAACATTCGCTTAATGTCAAAGACACTGTTTGACGACCACAGAATTAGGAAGATACATAAGCACACTTGAAACTGCATCAGCACCACGTTACGTTGCAAACGCCAAAATGTGATCAGCAGGGCATGGAATCGATAACAGATATTTGGATCAGCTACGAAGTGACATGCATGTGGTCGACTGCGTTCTACCATGTGCACACAGCCGCTGAGCGGGTAGGTAGGTTTCTCCTAACTGCAGCAAGACATTTTGTGACTGTCACCACACTCAGAAATGACCCCCGAAATGGCAGTAGCGTTAACGTTTCTACTCAGTCCACAATCGTCTCCGTTATCCCCGGTTTGAACACCACGTCAATTGAACAGCTCAAGACTCAGTTCTGGTACTTTTTATTAATGAATCGAGATACTGTCTTGACTTCAGAGGCTGTGACCGTGTGTGATGTAGATTTCAGGATTCTAACGTAGCCTTGCATGCAAAGTGTGTGAAAATTGACAATGGTATCTGGTGTTATGGGTTTTCAGACGCTAAAGAACATGGGTGGTTTTCCGATTTTCGTATGAACAATTATAAAACATATCACTATTTTTTAAAGACATCTTTATGTTAAATTGCCAGTCATCGTCCGGGTATTCACTATGCCTGTGTGACAGGCTTCATTCTAGCAAGATTAAACACTGCCGCCCAAAACCGTAGGACATCCGATATTATATAATCCGACGACAGATGTTTCCAACCTCAGGATATAGCGATATTTTATATCCTTGTAAACTTAGAAAGGAGTAGGAAAACTGACTACTTGTCACAATCTAAAGAGATGCCTAGGAAATACACTAGATGAAGTGTTTATTGGGGTGTGAACCAGTAGATTCATGCATGGAAATTTGTGCAAATCCGGTCATAGCATTAACGACAATAGTCTTTGTACTACGACAATATACGATGATCAAAGGTTTAGCTTCATATCGGGAAACAACGCAAATCTGGCCACTGTATGCATTTCCTTTAGACTAACGCTTAGTCTCTGAATAATATATAATTTTGATTGTAACAAATAAACCCATTTAAATTGAAAAGGAGCCCCAGGGAGACCAGAGATTCAGAACCTGGAGATATCCAGACTTGCTTCATTTAGGACTTTAGCATTGCAGGAAAGGCTAGACAGTAGGGAAAATAATGTGGTTCAGGGACTGTGAGACAAACTAGCATTTCCTTCTGTATATGCCTTAGGTTCAATGGTGTAACACTCTGCTTTGATCCCGTGCTAGGCCATGACCCCTCTTCACCCTGTACGTGGTAATAAAGAACAGACGACGAAAATCTTAGAAAAGATTCCTGATCACTGGATAAGATAAGAAAGGTTCGATACTTTGTGGATAACAACTTCTATAATATATTATGATGTTGTTATTATATTATGTTGATGCTATTATGAAGTTGTTATCCATAAAGTATCGTACCTTCTTTATTATTCATCAACTTCTAAAATGCCAATCAAACAGATCACTGGATAAGATGTTGGTCCAGCCAGCCATGGCACTTCTATATGTTTACTCAGTAACCTATGGTGTCCTATAATTGCCATCGCGTGGCGCGTAAAAAAAGACTACGTCGACCACGACGTCGTGCAGAAATACACAAGAATGATCTACGACAAAAATACAAAATCGACGTCGCCCACGACGTAGTTCTTTTTTTTACGCGCCACGCGATGGCAATTATAGGACACCATAGTAACCAGACTCCTGAAGTGAGTTAGTTTATTGCATTGAACCTGTGGAAACTCTAAACTTGCGTCACGTGGGGATGTTGCATTACAGAAAGGGGCAAGAATACGTTTCCGGGATTGTGAAAGACAATATAGGTGTTGGTGATGCCTCTGCGTCAACTGTTCGCGGTGCGATCAGATCTAAAACTTTAAAGGGTGTTTGTTTCTTTCAGTTCAAAGAAGGTGTCAGTGTGTTGTTTACCACGCTCTTGTGTTCTGTCTCCTGTTTCACGCCACATTCAGCAATATATTCCAGCTATATGATGGCGACCAGTATTTAATCATTCTGTAGTAGAACATACAGTGATCAACACCCAGAGCACATACATCCACCGAGTGGGTTGTAGTCAAAAGGACAAAAGGGCCAAAATTGAAAAAGTCAAAAGGGCCAAAGGCAAGTCTAAAGGGCCAACAGAAAGTCAAAAGGGCCATAGACTTAAGTCAGAAGGGCCATAGGTTAAAAAAGAACATACAAACTAATATATATTTTATGTTTTATTATATTAATATTTATTATTATTATTATTTATATTTGTATCAATATGTAAATATGTAAATAGTAACAAAAGTAATAATTTTTAGTGTGATCATCTGCTGACCAGCCTTCAAGTACCCATGTACAGACAGTAACTGATACAAGGGACGCTTAACAATTTTAAAGGTGTCACTGCAGTGACATGGATAGATGAGATGAGGTGAAATTGGGTTTTACGTCGTGCTTGAGAATATTTCGCTCATATGACGACGTGCATACGTGTGTATATGTATGTGTGGCAGCTTGTACTAGCCCAGACTTAAGCTGGTTTTATAGTGCTAGCCCACTGAGATACAATTCCGCAGTGAAGCATGAATACCCCACTCAGACACATTATCGTGACTCCGAGCCGACCAGTCCTTGTTGTACCCATTAATGCCGAGCGCCAGGTAGATACCAACAAGTACCATATTTTAACGTCTTTTGGTATGACGGATCGGGGATCGAACCCGCGACGTTCCGCTCTCCGGGCGGACGCTCTAACCACACTACACCATGGAGGCGGTCACATGGATAGATGATAAAGCTGTCTGTTGCAAACAAGAGATGTCTCTCTCCCTGCACACGCACATACCCACGGAGAAAAGCATCAAGCACGTAACTCTCCACAATCTGAAACAGAATATAGATTATTGTTCATATTGTTAAGTCTTTGGTTATTGTTGAAAGTTGAATAGGTTTAGTTATTTAATGCTTGCATTCCCACCGAGTCACCGAACAGGGTCCATGCTAAAACCAAATACAATGTATACACAATGTCTGCTTTCAGTTATTTATGAAACCGAATATGAATTAGATGTACATTCAATTTGAATATCTAGGTACTGCCGCACACATAGCGTGTCAAGTGTGTGAGCTTTCAACATGAATATCAATTGTTTATCGCTGGAATTCGTGCAGTGCGTGACTTGACTTGCAGTTGCCGTGACTTCTCGACTTGCCATGACTTCTTGATCCAGTATTGTGATGGCAATATTATTCTGCAAGTTTTGTTATCAAATATTACAACGCATATAAAAATAGTACTGTAGCCACCCATTGGCGGGATCAGAGCTACATTTCCATAGACTTACATGTTATTTCAGTGTAGTATAAATAATTACCATGAAGTGAGTTTAGGATGGATCTCTGTAAAATTTGGAATCATCTCTGCTCTGCGCACATAATTTCAGTTCAATTTTACGACCACTATTTAACTAATGACATCACATTTATCAACTTGCGGATGGTTCCACAATGGACAATCCCACAGGCCGCCATGTTAGAGTTCACGGCACTGTACATATATGTTGATTAAATTGTTGCCATTCGACAAATAAGCAACGGAAAATTAAACAGAAATTATGTGATTGTAGGTAAGATGATTCCTCACAAATGTGCAAAATTTGACTTGGATCTTACGAAAATTAAATTCATGAAATATATTTATGCTACACTAAATTACCATGTAAGTCTATGGAAATTACGTCAAGTGTCCGAATACTTTTTGCACGACTCTGTAGCTTATATAGGGATGTGTATATACAAATACAGTCATACATCTACACGAAACACTTTCGAGCGGCTACTGTAGCGTATTTCAAAGTATCCTGTGTCCTCCTCAATATATCACGACATGTTGTCATACAAGCAATAAAACCCGCTTGGTGTAATGTGCCCGAAAATAAGAACTGACTATAGTGTCCAGTGTCCACAATGATAACGTTAACTGCAGGGTCAACAGCAGGTACGCCGAGAGGGCATAGGCACAGCACCACACAGCATGTCCACAGGAGTACAAGAGATGCAGAGGAGAATTTGGATAGCTTGTCGTTGACACTGACTGCTTGTCCTCTTGCACACGGTACTGTACTGGTATTTCATTTTCCAACAAATGGCATCGTTACGGCGTAAATGAATAATGTTTGGATCTTGACCTTTTTAGGCTTTTATCTTTTGACTGAAAGTCAACGCTGTTACCTAATGCAGATCAGAAGTACAATTCCATCTGTCATTTAAGTTCTAAAACATTTGGCACAGTCAAAACAGTCCATTAATACATGCTTTATATTCTACTATTTTCCTTTCGGGTCATGTTTAAAGGGGAGTAACTGTGGTCTGACTCCACTCAGTAACTCGATGTCGGTAGTCGACAACTACCTGGTCGATAATGGAATCCAACCTCGATTCATCATCACGGCTGCGGACAAACCGCACAGCCTTCGTCGACAACCGTCATTTGATTTCTGTTTAGAAACTGTTGAAAAACACAGTGATAAGGTATGTGAGACCGTTTTATAGAGTCAATTATATCTAAAGCACATTTATTCTGATCAACTACATTTTCAGTGCAATTTCAGTGTTGGCGCTGATTCAGCCCTGTGGCTGCAAGTCGTTCGGTCTTCATCCGTCAGAAGCCAGGTCATACCACAAGTATCATATGCTCCATAATCGCCCTCTCCCATTCACCCGCCCCAATGTGGCTAGAATAGTGTTCAGTGCGGAGTAAAACTAAACTCACTCACTCTCCCATTATCCTACAGGTCAAGTTAAAACTGATGTCTCATTGTAAACTCACCTGTTGATGGTAAACTAGACTTGCACAAGTCTCTTAAGTAATAATTAACAGTTTAAAGGGACACTGATCTAGAGCAATTCCCCCTGATGATATCCCAGAATTCATCTGAACTTTATCTGCAAGTGATGCAAAATGTTAGGACTGAAAAAACCCACCAAAGTCAAGGTACGTCTTTATGCTCTTATTTGTGGTCGTATGATCCTAATGAATTTATTATCCCCCGCTGCGTGTTTAGCGCGAAGCGGGGGATATAGTATTAGGCCCCGTACGTACGAATTGGAATATCTTAAGAACCGTTGACTAGATTCTTTTCATATTTGGTACCTAGTTTCATCACAGTATAAGAAAGGTCAAACTCATGTTTGGTGACCTTGACCTTCATTTCAAGGTCACAAGGGGACTTTAACATTTTACCTGCATGTTAAGCTATATCAAGAACAGCTCACTGGATTTTCTTCATATTCAATACCAAGCTTTATCTAGGGAAGGCGCAGGGCCCAGTCGATTTTGGTGACCTTCACTTAATTTTCAAGGTCATGGCGACACTTTGAAGATTTCAGCATGTAAACCTGCATGTTAAGCTATCTCAAGAACCGTTTACTGGATTTTCTTCATATTTAACACCAAGTTTTATCTAGGAAAGGCGCAGGGCCCAGTCAATTTTGGTGACCTTCACATAACTTTTTTAGGGTAAACCTGCATGTTAAGCTATCTCAATCAAGAACCGTTCACTGGATTTTCTTCTAATACCAAGTTTTATTGAAGATTTCAGCATGTTAACCTGAATTGTCAGTCACTGGAGTTTCTTGATATTATATATTTTTAGAATGGTTCACTGGATTTTCTTCATAGACTTTTAAGACTTCTCTTGAATGTTTTTCAATAAGCAATTTCTTTAGTACTAGTTTTGCATATTTCATACACTATGACATTCATGTCAAGGTCAAAGTCAGTCTTGAAAATATGTGTGTGTTTGAACAACTAAAGAGCCAGATATCAAGAGAGGTTGACTGGTCATGTTATTGTTGACATTTAACTTCATCTGAAACTTTCATTCCTTGAATGTTTGATTTGATAATTTGCAGCGGGGGATTATGTCACCTTAGTGACAATGCTTGTTATTATATTATTATCAGTTTGGAACTTCATAAAAAGTACATGATATGTTTTAAGTGAATTTATAACATGACTAATATCTAGACATTTCATAGATTGCCAAAGTGAGTCATATTTCACGCAAACACCCTAAGTGTGACATAGTGGATGTTGGCTGTCTTATCGAACTTCACTGCGAAAAAATATGAAGTGGGATGATTCTGCTGTATGTTACAACAATTGAACAAAAACAAAATACAAATACTAAAATTGAAATTGACTAAAGTTATAGCAATATCATCATTCTATCACATTCTATCACAAAAGACACATGACATGGAGCAGGATTCTTTATCAGTTGAATGGCATATCGTTCCTTGATGTGGATGTTGATGGATATATTCCTCAAACAAGGTAATAGCCTCGCATTGTTCCTATGGTGGAGTCTACTAATGCCTATAGGGAATAACACCTACAGTCTGAAATAAACAATTTTATGCACCAGTGGTTAGATATTGTACTGCCTCTACCCTTTCACTAAAGTGGTAGGTCCCACTTCATTGTGTACTAATGCCTACGGTGTCCTCCCATTTGCGAGAACTCCCAGTTGCGAGACACATTAATTAATGGTTCAGTGCACACAGGTGGTGCTTCCCAATCCCTACGATGAAAGTGGGAACAGCCCTGTTGCTGAAGAGTACCCGCAGGAGGCATAGTTCATTAATGAGACACAGAAGACATTGTTCATTGAAGAGCATTTATTGATTTCAATAAAGAACAAGTTAAATACTGAAATACTGAAAAAGATTATCATTATATTTACACAGAAGAAATAGTTCATTAAATACTTCATTATCATTTTTTATTCAAACATTTAGATGATTTGCGTTATTATGATGTTTGTGTGTCATTATAAAACACTTTTTTGCATGGGTCCATATTTGGAAATTTTGACACTTTTCATATTTTCAGCAGTTTGCTGCATCAAGATACTGCATGTGATTTTTCGTTCCATCTGCAAGTTGATCTTTGAGTCTATGTAGTTGATTGTCTATTTCCCTGTACACGCGTTTCCTCGATCGAGGGGCGCCTCCCAGGTCGAGTTGGCACAGCTTGGCCTTCTCTGCCTTTCTCTATTTTCCTGATGATTTCCATAAACCTGAAGATGTTTGGATGGCGATGACTGAGTGTAGCATTCAATCTACTGTGAAACACAAATGTTAATTACTTTATCTTTTAAGCTACCTCCACAAGATTCAGTTAAATAGCTAATCCCTAATTAGCTGGGGTTAATCCATTCTATCAGATAGGGGAGTAAGGTGTGTTTTCTTTGCTCCTTACCTTCTCCACTGTCTCACAACTGGGAGTTCTCGCAAATGGGAGTAGACCATGCCTACAGGGAATAACGCCTACAGTCTTAAATAAACAATTTTACGCACCAGTGGTTAGATATTGTACTGCCTCTACCCTTTCACTAAAGAGGTAGGTCCCACTTCATTGTGCATGCCTACAGGGAATACAAAACACAGATTTTTATTGAGATTATATATATCTGAAATATCTGGACTCATATTTTATATATATATTTATTCTTGCCAAATCTCCTTTGTTTCTGCACAAGATCTTTCGCCGTTCAACGGCTCTTCAGGTGTACAGGTGTTTCAGGTGTTTTTAATATCACAGCATAGGTTAATAGACATCATATTGTTACATGATTGAATATCCAGGTAAAAAACACAGAAGTAAGATCAAATTAGATCAGTCATTATACCATCCAGGCATTAGAAAATCTGAAAAAGTTTACACTGCTGGGATACTTTATTACAATCAGACAAGAACTACCGGGAATATTTTCAAATAATGGGCATGCACCCTTCCTAATGTCTCACTGTTTTGGTTGAAGAAATTCTGCCAAGGTGGACAGTCCCCAGTCCCCATGTCCGTCACGGCAGAGGGAGCAGGGGCTGACTAGCCTGCAGCCAGGTTTCGTAATTAGACTGTTGGCGAGAAACATTAATCGCTCTGGATCAGTGCCCCTTTAAGTGCAATCCAAAGATTCGGTATTTTCGTCCTTCATACCGTCATTTTATTAACCTTTTAAAACCTTTTCTAAAATGTCTGTTCTTCTTCTAGTCATGAAATGGCAGTTTTGTTCATTCAAATTAACAAAGATTATGGTTATTTTTTCCATGTCATTAAACAATGAAAGGTTTGGCTCTTGTCAATTTTCTGCATTATGATCATATCTCATATACTGAACTGAAACAGACCGAACCGAAGGCCTTGTACCGCAATACGTACCGTGGCGTGATTCGAGCGTACCGTTTCATCCACTACCGTCATGGCCGAGGGAGCAGGTGCTGCCCACCTGCCAGCTAGATACTGTAATAAAATTGTTGGAGTGAAACAGGAGTTTCAGTGCCCCTTTACATATTTATTTCTGAAAAGCATATATACAAAAAGATCACATTTCTCTCTAACAGATTGACGTCCTGAGATGACTTGCCACTACACAGCCTTGTAGCAAGGCTAATGGAAGACAAACTGTGCCATTAAAGTGATGAAATATTAATTCCAGAGCGATTAATGTTTCTTGCCAACAGTCTAATTACGAAACCTGGCTGCAGGCTAGTCAGGTCACATTGCAGATTCTGATACCTTTCGGTATGGACCGAAACAAATCATCAAAAATGCAAATTCAACTTATAAAGTTGAAAAATAACGCGATGAAAAAAAACGCGCGAAATCGGAGTTCAAACAATTCACTAATTTTCCCCCGACTTTTTGGGGAAAACTGGTTTCAACAGCTGGGCTGCGCTCATAGCACGTGCGCAGTGAAATAGGTTCGTGCAGCTTGGAAGTGGGTTGTCCGGTGAATACTCGGTGAAGGCTTTGGTGTGAGCTATTTTTCTAATGTTTTGTTGATATTTCACAGGAGCATGCTTTTTATATGTTATGACAGTAAATAAACTGTTTATATAATTTCATTTGTCTATTTCACCACACGTTCTTACCGAGTCACTTTCTCAGTTCGATACTTAAAAGCAATGTCATTATTTAGCGTTGACAGAATTTCTAACTGTGATATAGATATGTCGTTGTCAGACAAAACTCAATGTCTGTTTTATTGACACCTGTGTGTCTGCCTGCCTGTCTGCTAATGACAATTTTTAATACACAACTGCGATCACTGACCACATGCAATTTGAACTTAACACCAATCAGGCTATACACCATAAACAAAATGCATTGATTTATGGCCCGAGTTCGGTCTCTGTCACATTATGTAATTACACAGACAGGCAGGTGTGATACTTGTACACATGACATGTTATGATGTCTGTTGATTGCAAAATGTTATGCACAGAAAATGAGCATGTATTTACAAACCCCAACATCTCTATATATACACACACAATGAGCCGTGAGGGCATCTGCAAATGAACCAGCCATTACACTTTTTGGTTGCATGTGACCTTTAAGGAAAGAGCTAGTTGGAACAGAAAATAACATGGTTCAGGGCCTGTCAGGTTTGCTATAGGCGTTTGTAAGTCATGGCATTTGTAAGTCATGGCATTTGATGCTCTGAATGAGGTGGATGTGCAGTTGAAGGACAAGTGATACAGGTGAACAACATGATACCTACAGCATTTTTCTTTTGCCAGTTTTGACACGTTGCAAGTTTTTAACTTTTATGGGCATGAACGAAAGATAAAAAGCCTTAGGCTTGAACCTGTAGTGTGTCCGGATTACATCCTCTCACACATCACATATCTTGAACCTGTAGTGTGTCCGGATTACATCCTCTCAAACATCACATCTCTTGAACCTGTAGTGTGTCTGGATTACATCCTCTCACACATCACATCTCTTGAACCTGTAGTGTGTCTGGATTACATCCTCTCACACATCACATCTCTTGAACCTGTAGTGTGTCCGGATTACATCCTCTCACACATCACATCTCTTGAACCTGTAGTGTGTCTGGATTACATCCTCTCACACATCACATCTCTTGAACCTGTAGTGTGTCTGGATTACAACCTCTCACACATCACATCTCTTGAACCTGTAGTGTGTCTGGATTACATCCTCTCACACATCACATATCTTGAACCTGTAGTGTGTCTGGATTACATCCTCTCACACATCACATCTCTTGAACCTGTAGTGTGTCCTGATTACATCCTCTCACACATCACATCTCTTGAACCTGTAGTGTGTCTGGATAACATCTCTCACATCCTCTCACACATCACATCTCTTGAACCTGTAGTGTGTCTGGATTACATCCTCTCACACATCACATCTCTTGAACCTGTAGTGTGTCTGGATTTGAACAACCTCTCACTGTAGTGTGTCTGGATTACATCCTCTCACACATCACATCTCTTGAACCTGTAGTGTGTCTGGGATTACATCCTCTCACACATCACATATCTTGAACCTGTAGTGTGTCTGGATTACATCCTCTCACACATCACACATCTCTTGAACCTGTAGTGTGTCTGGATTACATCCTCTCACACATCACATCTCTTGAACCTGTAGTGTGTCTGGATTACATCCTCTCACACATCACATCTCTTGAACCTGTAGTGTGTCTGGATTACATCCTCTCACACATCACATCTCTTGAACCTGTAGTGTGTCTGGATTACATCCTCTCACACATCACATATCTTGAACCTGTAGTGTGTCTGGATTACATCCTCTCACACATCACATCTCTTGAACCTGTAGTGTGTCTGGATTACATCCTCTCACATCTCTTGAACCTGTAGTGTGTCACATCATCACATCTCTTGAACCTGTAGTGTGTCTGGATTACATCCTCTCACATCCTCTCACACATCACATCTCTTGAACCTGTAGTGTGTCTGGATTACATCCTCTCACACATCACATCCTTGAACCTCACACATCACATCTCTTGAACCTGTAGTGTGTCTGGATTACATCCTCTGAACCACACATCACATCTCTTGAACCTGTAGTGTGTCTGGATTACATCCTCTCATCACATCTTGAACATCTCTTGAACCTGTACCTGGTGTGTCTGGATTACATCCTCTCACACATCATCTCTTGAACCTGTAGTGTGTCTGGATTCACATCCTCTCTGGATTACATCCTCTCACATCACATCTCTTGAACCTGTAGTGTGTCTGGATTACATCCTCTCACACATCACATATCTTGAACCTGTAGTGTGTCTGGATTACATCCTCTCACACATCACATCTCTTGAACCTGTAGTGTGTCTGGATTACATCCTCTCACACATCACATCTCTTGAACCTGTAGTGTGTCTGGATTACATCACATCTCTCAGTGTGTCACATCACACATCACATCTCTTGAACCTGTAGTGTGTCTGGATTACATCCTCTCACACATCACATCTCTTGAACCTGTAGTGTGTCTGGATTACATCCTCTCACACATCACATCTCTTGAACCTGTAGTGTGTCTGGATTACATCCTCTCACACATCACATCTCTTGAACCTGTAGTGTGTGTCTGGATTACATCCTCTCACACATCACATCTCTTGAACCTGTAGTGTGTCTGGATTACATCCTCTCACACATCACATCTCTTGAACCTGTAGTGTGTCTGGATTACATCCCTCACACATCACATCTCTTGAACCTGTAGTGTGTCTGGATTACATCCTCATCACATCACATCTCTTGAACCTGTAGTGTGTCTGGATTACATCCTCTCACACATCACATCTCTTGAACCTGTAGTGTGTCTGGATTACATCCTCTCACACATCACATCTCTTGAACCTGTAGTGTGTCTGGATTCACATGAACCTCTCACACATCACATCTCTTGAACCTGTAGTGTGTCTGGATTACATCCTCTCACACATCACATCTCTTGAACCTGTAGTGTGTACATCCTCTCACACATCCTCTGAACCACATCACATCATCTCTTGAACCTGTAGTGTGTCTGGATTACATCCTCTCACATCACATATCTTGAACCTGTAGTGTGTCTGGATTACCTCTCACACTCACACACCATCACATCACATCTTGAACCTGTAGTGTGTCTGGATTACATCCTCTCACACATCACATATCTTGAACCTGTAGTGTGTCTGGATTACATCCTCTCACACATCACATCATCTTGAACCTGTGTGTCTGGTACATCCTCTCACACATCACATCTCTTGAACCTGGATTACATCCTCTCACACATCACATCTCTTGAACCTGTAGTGTGTCTGATTACATCCTCTCACACATCACATATCTTGAACCTGTAGTGTGTCTGGATTACATCCTCTCACACATCACATCTCTTGAACCTGTAGTGTGTCTGGATTACATCCTCTCACACATCACATATCTTGAACCTGTAGTGTGTCTGGATTACATCCTCTCACACATCACATATCTTGAACCTGTAGTGTGTCTGGATTACATCCTCTCACACATCACATCTCTTGAACCTGTAGTGTGTCTGGATTACATCCTCTCACACATCACATCTTGAACCTGGATTACATCCTCTCACACATCACATCTCTTGAACCTGTAGTGTGTCTGGATTACATCCTCTCACACATCACATCTCTTGAACCTGTAGTGTGTCTGGATTACATCCTCTCACACATCACATCTCTTGAACCTGTAGTGTGTCTGGATTACATCCTCTCACACATCACATATCTTGAACCTGTAGTGTGTCTGGATTACATCCTCTCACACATCACATATCTTGAACCTGTAGTGTGTCCTGATTACATCCTCTCACACATCACATATCTTGTCATTTACCAATCCCTTCCACGGATATCTGTGGTAAAGTGCATATAAACTGACCAAGGCAATGGGTAGTTCTAAAGAATTACAAAATAACATTTAGGCCACAAAATAATAGTTGGCAGGAAATAAAAATGCCTTGTAACTAGTTAAATTTGAAATTAAACTGATACAGGAAAATGGTGTTTGTTTGCAGTCTCCGCCAGTGTTTGCAAGACTTTTATTTGCCAGTTTGCCATCAGGGTTGTTGCCCTCTGCAGGCTTTAAAATCTACAGGCCCTGAATGAAATTTGCAGGCCCATTTTGTTAAAGTCAAACCAAAATAGACTTCACTGTACACAGTTTCACACTGTTTCTACAAAAATCAATTAGTGACTTTACACAATATAATTCATATTTCAGCTCCTCCGTAAATGTGATGCTGAAAAAAGTGCATGTTTGTGGCTTGAATTGTGCCAGTCATCCTATAGAGTTGGAGTGACAAATGTCGTATACTACCCATTTGGATTGAGTGACACTTGTTCTACTTTGAATTCAGCCTGTACTTGCAGCCTTTGAACAGGAAGCTTATACTAAGACGGTTTTGTAACATAAACCAATATGTGCAAATTGTGAAATTCGAACTGTGAAATCAAGTAGATGTATTCGTGAGCATGGAATGTATCATTTTCATTGAACTTATCTTAAGCACTGTAACTTTAATTTCCCCTAGTATATATGAGGTGGTGGAGCCTCTTGGGGCTTGGTTGATGTCAACGCCTTTTTATGGCAAGACTAGGTTGGGTCTCCTCTTATCGTAACATTTGTATGTAAGACGACCTACACCTGTGAAGATTCAATGTGATAGTTGCTGTGTTTGCTCAGTGTATAATTTCACCACTGTTCCTTTGTGTTTCAGTGAGGGGTAGTCGATGGTCACTCAATATGACATGACGGCTCAGAGCCCCTCAGTGTAGCGGCATGCTGAGCAAATGGAAGAAACTATTCCTCTTCCTGCTGGCCTCGACATTCATGTGGCTACTGGGAACATCTTTCCTCCCAAGTACCATCAACCTGGCAGCCATCAACAGGAACTATGCTGCTGACAGGAGCTACATCACCGTCTTCCCTCACCGACACCTCAGAAACACATCTCACAAGCTTATTCTGCTATGGACCAAATATTTTGGTAGTGATAATTGGAACTTTCGACATGATTTCCTACAATCATGTTCCAGTTCAACATGTAAAGTGACGTCAGACCGGAGCAGCCTAGCAGAGAGTGATGCAGTGTTGTTTAACTCCAGAGATTTGGATGCCTCCACAGTGTTTCCAAAAACACGGACACCGGAACAAGTGTGGGCCCTGCACAACTCGGAACCCCCTTACTATATATATACTGACTTAGCTTTATTCAATGGAGTTTTCAACTGGACTAGTTGGTTTAGGCAAGATGCAGATATATATTCCCCGTATGGCGATTATAAGGAGGTTGATAAAGACAAAAAAATTAATTTGCCTAATTTCCATGCACAGAAAAGTAACCTGTCTCTATGGGTTGCAAGCAGTTGTACGGACAGAGCACGGCGGTACAGACTTATAAATGAGATACAGAAGTACATGAAGATAGACACGTATGGTGCTTGTGGACGAAACATTTGTCCTAAAAACTCTCCCAAATGTCATCATATCTTTAGAAAATACAAATTTTTGTTTGCACTTGAAAATGGCCACTGCCGAGGCTATGTAACAGAGAAATTTTGGAACGCATTTAGACAAGATCAGATCCCAGTGGTGTGGGGCGGCGCTGACTACGACAAGATAGCACCACCCGGCTCCTACATCAACATGAAACACTTCTCCAGTCCACGGGCTGTGGCGATGTACTTGCAGCACGTAGCCAACAACGCCAGCCTGTACAACAGCTACTTCCGGTGGAGGCGGAGGTATGAGCTGACCCCGCACCAGGTGGTAGGTTGGTGCCACCTCTGTACGGCACTCCATGACCGCCAGCGACCAGCACAGCTGTATACAGACCTCCGCGGCTGGGTGGATGCCGACACCTGTCACGGCTACTCTGTAAGTTAAACACAATTCCAGATGCCTTGTATTTGCACTTTAAATCAAACCATTTTTTTGTTGAGAATATGGTAATGGGTCATAAATATATGATAAAGTATTAGAATTCTGAATGTTTTAGCGTTACGCTTTGTGAAACAATGCCCCTGCTGGTGGTGGGTCATCATATACGCAGATTCATCGGATATTGGTGTTTCTTGTTGGAACTTGACTAGATATACAGACTGCCCTGTTACTGGTGTCTGTGTAAACCCCCAATGTAGACTGTCACCAAATTTGAAGACATTGGGTACAACAGTTCATGAGATAACCCGTTAACAAGAATCGGGACGTACGGACGGGCGGACAGACGCCGCTGAATACATAGTCACCCGTTCCGCATTGCGGCGGGGGACAAAGATATACAGACTGCCCTGTTATTACTCAAGATGAATCATGATGGATAAATTACTTGTATGCAACAATTTGGACAATTAAAAGAGAAGAGAGTGCTGAGTGTTTCAATCAGACAAACTAAGTATTCTCTTTAGCAGGGCTCGATTTAGTGCTTTGTTACTTGCACTGGTGCATCCCAATATAACAAAGTGCAACCTAGTTGCACCTGGTGCAAGTCAATTTTTGAGAAATGAATTAACGATAAGTCTAACATTATAAGCATAATTGTCCCCCGCCGCAACGCAGAACGGGGGACTGTATTCAGCGGCATCTGTCCGTACGTCCCGATTCTTGTTAACAGGATATCTCATGAACTGTTGTACCCAATGTCTTCAAATTTGGTGACAGCTTACATTGGGGATTACGCAGACACCAGTTTATTTGGGTGACCTTGACCTTATTTTCAAGGTCACCACGACACTTTGACCACTTTTCAAACTCTTGTTAATGCGATATCTCGTGGGCTGTTGTACCCAGAGTCTTCAAATTTGGTGACAGCCTACATTGGGTGATTACGCAGACACCAGTTTATTTGGGTGACCTTGACCTTATGTTCAAGGTCACCATGACACTTAGAACTCTTTTCAAACTCTGAGTAACATGACATCTAATGGACTGTTCTACCCAATGTCTTCAAATTTGGTGACAGCCTATATTGGGGGATTACGCAGACACCTTTATTTGGATGACCTTGACCTTATCTTCAAGGTCACCATGACACTTTGACTGCTTTTCAAACTTATTTAAACGCAATATCTCATAAAACATTGCACCCAATGTTTTCAATTATGTTGACAGCCTACATTTGGTGATTATGCAGACACCAGGCATTTCAGGCATCTTGTATGTGACCAAAAAATAAAAGGTAGTAAATATAGATATTCCATTCTTTAGCGGCGGGGGACATTGCCATATCAGTGGCAAACACTTGTTATGTCAGCTCCTTTGGCTTCTAAACGTTGAATAGTCATAGCACTGACACATTGCTATTTATAGACACCTCTTGAAAACAGGGATCAGCGGTGTGGCTGTGTTGCTATAGTTTCATGGGTAATATGTCTCGGAAATGTGTTTATGTGCACTGAAACCTCTGACGTTTTAACACACTACATCCTCATTTTAAGTGATAGCTGAACGATTTATTGCACATTGCTGTGTGAAAGCTAAGATGATGAATTGAAACATAAATTAGAGACAAACGTAAATCCAGCCACAAGCAATGCTAAAAATATTAAGACTTATAAATTTAAAGAGGAATGGAAAAAAAACAGGGATTGGTTGCATTATGATGAGATTGAAAACATCTTAATAACAGAAGAACATATTTCTTTCATTAAATACTGCAATAAAAGCAGTGCAACTGGAGCTTTGCTGACTCAACTTGGTTTTTATCTTAGGTTGCACCTGGTGCAAGTAGGTTAACATCTCTTAAATCGAGGCCTGCTTTAGACTTGTGTTTCTTGGAAGCAGTAAGTGTCAAGTCTTGACAATAATAATATGGATGCCATGATCATCTCGAAACGGGCATCATCATTAGCTTGCATCTTGTTATTAGTTGAATGTCACATAAGTAATCTTAACATTCTGCAGTAGTTGTTCCGTATTCCTATCCTGCAACTCCTATGTCTTAGGTCGAGTTAATGCGGTAGTTACATAACAGGACATTATATGGTCATGAGGGCATAGTATTCAAATTTCAGACAACCACGAAAAAAGAGTTATGTTTCAAAAGGAGTTTTGTTTCAAAAGGAGTTGTGTTTCAAAAGGAGTTGTGTTTCTTTGAATGTGCTCCAAACTCAATTCACATCACACTTTAACATGGAGATTCTACTTACTGGCTGTTGCCGGTTTGTGAAATGTTACAACGTGATTTGTACCCAGACAAACCTCACAAGAACCCATACAACCGCCATGAATCTGATGCTAATCAAATGCAACATGTATATATAATTGTTCCTCTGGTTGCAGGTTTGGGGCATGATGACAGACTACATAGCCCGCTTTGCCTTTCTCATTGGCTTCTGATCACTGACAACCCAGGTCACATATAGCATCACTCTGTCAAGGGCCTGCTATTTGAGCCTAGAAAGATGGAATCACAGATACAACCAGCCCAGCACAGATTGCTGTAGAGTGAGAGCCAATCATGTCCTGTCCTCACTTGGTCAGACTTCCTGGGGGACATTCCGGATACTGTCACTAACAGTTTATCCGGACAAATCCTTACTTTGTTGCCAAAATCACTTTTTCGTTAAATAAATGTTATATTCTTGAACCTGTTCACTTGAATCTACAAAACTGGAAGCTGAACCTGCCCCAACGAAGGCATTGTAGGGTCAGTTAGCATGGACAGATAATCCAGCAAAACAACTGAATGAACACTGTGTGCACAGTGCATGATGAATGACGGTGGTGACCCACCAATGTTTGAAGTTGAAGGTGGTTGACTGGGGAGATCAACAGATGTTTGAAGTTGACGATAGTTGACAGTGGAGATTGACAGATGTAGGAGGTTGAATAAGGTGGTTGACATGGGAGATTGACAGATGTACGAGGTTGAATAAGGTGTTTGACTGGGGAGATTGACAGATGTACGAGGTTGAATAAGGTGTTTGACTGGGGAGATTGACAGATGTAGGAGGTTGAATAAGGTGGTTGACTTGGGAGATTGACTGATGTAGGAGGTTGAATAAGGTGGTTGACATGGGAGATTGACTGATGTACGAGGTTGAATAAGGTGTTTGACTGGGGAGATTGACAGATGTAGGAGGTTGAATAAGGTGGTTGACATGGGAGATTGACAGATGTAGGAGGTTGAATAAGGTGGTTGATGTAGGAGGTTGAATAAGGTGGTTGACATGGGAGATTGACAGATGTACGAGGTTGAATAAGGTGTTTGACTGGGGAGATTGACAGATGTACGATGTTGAATAAGGTGTTTGACTCAATGGGAGGTTGAATAATTGACTGGGGAGATGCAGACGATGTTGAATAAGGTGTTTGACTGGGGAGATTGACTGATGTACGAGGTTGAATAAGGTGTTTGACTGGGGAGATTGACAGATGTACGGTTGAATAAGGTGTTTGACTGGGGAGATTGACAGATGTAGGAGGTTGAATAAGGTGGTTGACATGGGAGATTGACTGATGTAAGAGGTTGAATAAGGTGGTTGACATGGGAGATTGACAGATGTAGGAGGTTGAATAAGGTGTTTGACTGGGGAGATTGACAGATGTACGAGGTTGAATAAGGTGTTTGACTGGGGAGATTGACAGATGTACGATGTTGAATAAGGTGTTTGACTGGGGAGATTGACAGATGTAGGAGGTTGAATAAGGTGTTTGACTGGGGAGATTGACAGATGTACGATGTTGAATAAGGTGTTTGACTGGGAGATTGACAGATGTACGATGTTGAATAAGGTGTTTGACTGGGGAGATTGACAGATGTACGAGGTTGAATAAGGTGTTTGACTGGGGAGATTGACAGATGTACGAGGTTGAATAAGGTGTTTGACTGGGGAGATTGACAGATGTACGAGGTTGAATAAGGTGTTTGACTGGGGAGATTGACAGATGTACGAGGTTGAATAAGGTGTTTGACATGGGAGAGGTTGAATAAGGTGGTTGACATGGGAGATTGACTGATGTACGAGGTTGAATAAGGTGTTTGACTGGGGAGATTGACAGATGTTTGAAGTTGAAGTCCACATATACTAGTATACAAACTTTGGTTACCAACAAATGTGTTCAGTGAATGATGCTGGTTGACAGTGTATTAGTTCTGTGTCTGCCTGTAACCTCCCATGGGCGGATCCAGGAATTTTTGAAGGGGATGGGGGTGGTTTAGCCATTTTCAAATGGACCCGCCAACGGTGAGATTATTCTCTAGCCTCTGAATGTTGTTGAAACCCCCCGTTAATTTCAACCTAAACTGCGCATACTCCATGCCAAGGCCTTCAGAAAATCAGCGTCTCCGCGCCGTGTGTATGCTGGAGACTGGAATGGCTCAAAATAAAGAAGCCAGACATTTTAGTGTCCATCGAAACACGATCTCATATTTATGGGGACGTTTTCAACATAATGGGAACACGATAAATTTGCCTCGGACCGGCCGTCCACACGTGACGTCACGTCAGCAAGACAACCATATTCGGCTGACCCATCTAAGGAATCGATTCCAGACTGCCAGTTTGACTGCTCAAATCATTCCTGGCTTACGTCCAGTCAGTTCCAGGACTGTACGGAACCGACTGAGGGAACCAAACATCCGGCCCTGCAATACATCTAATTTTGCTCCATCGTCACCGACAGGCACGTCTTGCTTGGTGCAGATTGCATCAGCAGACAGGGGACAAGATTGGGATGGTGTCCAGATTTCATCTGGACAGCTCAGGTGTCCCTTATATTATCGAGCACGCTTGGGGTGAAATGTAGCGACGTTTACGTCAAGCCCGGAATCAGCTATTGGCATTAGCTGAATTAGGACAAGCGTTGGTTCAGACATGGAACAACATTCCCCAAGCTTTCTTCAGTCGTTTAGTGTCGTCTATGCGTCGCCGGTTTCAAGCCTGCATCAACACCAATGGTGGAAAAACGATACTGAATTTGTGAACTGACCGAGGGAATAAATTTTGGGACATGCCCTAAAAATGTGTTTTACTGATGAAAATACCCCAAAAAAACAAAAATAAGGGGTAGTGGGACGTTATTTGACACCTGTGTGTACGTCACATCCACGGTATCGACAGGTGAAATTGACACCTGAGCACACGCTCGGGCGAGGGTCATCTCAATAGATGTTTTCTGCAAAATGTTGAATATGGGTACGTATAGTATACCTATTGGTTATGTAAGGGATCATTTGTGTATGTGTGTTTGTTTTGAAATAAACATACGAATTACTGTACATTGGAAAGAATCCTATCACATGTGTTATCTTATCGATTGATTGTAGAAATGTGCAACGTTTTAATAAATGTTTTGCATGTCAACAGTATATTTCATTGAAAAGAAATGGATGTATCAAATCATACAAAGATTTTCACTGGTGTAGCTTAGAATATATATATTATCCTGTCAACAGTCAAACAATGATTAAGGAAAACACCACACATCATGTTATTATCTTCTTGCATTAAAAAATGGCATACCATGAAATGATGCACAGTTACTCTATTTCAGTGGTATACACTAAACTACTCTTTTGTTTGAAAGTGGTAGCCGAACTTGGAATTACCGTATTAGATGATACAATGGTGACTAATGTCATGTTGCGTCAGTTTGAGATGTTACTTGTGGAAAAGATATTTGTGGAAAAGATCTTTGATCAACCAAGAACAATTTATTGGTTCTACGTACATAGTGTTGGGTATCACGGAGTAAACGTCCTATGTACCAGTTACACTGAAGTATCAGTATTATATTAATTAAATTGTTTTCAAGTCTTGTTCCACTTACGTCTGAATTATCAGACATCGATTTCATGAAGTAAAAAGGTGAACTTGTACACATTAACTGTCAACACCACTGAGTGGTAAGATTCAACTTGCCGACTTCAGTTTAGACAAATAATATAACAGTTTCTGAATAATCCCATAAGGAAATAGTCACCATACGGTAATAAACTACCGTCCAAAAGAAAGTATACCACTAGTTTCGAAATCCAATTAAGAAACAACAAAAACGATATCAACAAAATATGTTTTATACTTCATTAGAGTATTCATTTCTGCATTATTTAAACATAAACACAATTCAGAAATGAAAAGGAAACAAACACATGGGGGTGTCCAAAAATGGAACATAACAATAAAACTGAACAACCAGAAAGTTTTTCAAAATGCCCGGTACAAAATTTAGAGCCATGTACTGCCTCAGTAGCGAGTATGTCCTCCTTGAGCATTGACACAAGCAACAATACGTCGGCGCATATAGATGACGCCAAGCGTCTAATGACGTCGCGTGGAATCTGTTGCCAGGCGTCATCCAGGCACTGTTCCAGCTGTTGCACGTTGACTGGGGCTACTGATCTGTTCCTAATCTACCTGTCGAGGTGGTCTCACAAATGCTCTATAGGGTTCATGTCTGGTGAACATGCTGGCCATGGTAAGACGTGTACGTTCATGTTGTTCAGGTAATCTTTTGATAGTCTGGCGGTATGTAGTTTTGCATTATCATGTTAGAAGACAATGCCACGTGTCTGTTGGTGAATGAATGGAAGGGCTACCGGTCGCAGAATGTCATCCCTGTACCTCTGTGTAGTAAGGTTGCCACGAATGATGACTAGCCTTGTTTTCAGTTCACCACATATTCCTCCCCACACCATAACACCACCTCCACCATACGCCGGAACTTCCTGGATACAGTTAGGAGCTAAACGATCTCTAATACGTCCGTAGACACGTTGACGGCCATCAGCTGTGAATACGCAGAACCTGCTCTCATCCGAAAAAAGGACACGTGACCAGTCTCGGACTTGCCAACGTCGAACTTGTCTTGCCCACTGGAGCCTGTTACGCCGGTGTTGTTGTGTCAGTACAACCCCACGGTATGGACATCGTGCTCGAATACCATGTTCACGCAGTCGTCGTGATACTGCCTGTCGACTGACACTATGTCCGAGTGCCGTTGCTGCCGTTGCTGTTCCCGGGATGAAGCGCTTCCTGAGGTGGATCACCCGGATGTAGCGGTCCTCCTCCGGTCACCCACTTCTCGGCCTGTCTACTGTCTGCCCTGTCTGGCGGAGACGCTGAAACAACCTAGTGATACATACCCGGATGCAGCCGAAGGTTCTGGCGATGAGGGCATGTGACGCTCCTTGTTGGGCCATTCCTACTGCTCTCTCTCTTTTTACTGCGGTCAGGCATGGCATTTTTCTTGTGTGCTTTTTTTATTCTGTGACAATGCCTTGTGTCATCGGCTGCTCTTATACGGTTTGAGCGAGACGAGAAATTGGTCATTACACATAAGTAGTCATTACCTTATCACATGTTTCTGTACATTTTCCTGGATCTAGGTTCAAAGTTAAGATTTTAAACGGCAAAAATATTTGGTATACTTTCTTTTGGACGGTAGTATATATTTGTTTTGTCATGTTTTTCTTTCCTGTTTGATTCGGATATAACTGGACCGCATTAATGTCCATGCAGGAGCATGGTAATTCCACACATGTTGAATATATCATTTCTCTCCGTGTCAGATGCAGCAGGGTAATCCTGATCCCTAGTTTTGTCACACGTCTCTCATGTCAGCTGTGTGGACTCATGTCAG